CCAGATATATTTGGGTTAAATATCTTTTTAAATTAATTCTACTTGTATCTTTTTCTTTTAAAAAATCTGGCTACGAGAAAAAATTTAATTACCTGTGATTGGCTCGCATTTGTGGCCTGCTTTATATTTCCATGGGATGGCCCTTCACTGAAGTGATGCGTCATTTCTATGCTGAATCCATGGCCCCCAGAGGGTCTCCTGACAAATGTGCTTCCTCTTGTCCTGGCTCTCCCATTCTTCCAGGCATTATGTTCTGAGGGGTCTACTCTGACTCCTTAGCCATTCCCCTGCTCTCCTGTGTGCCCCCAACCATCACGCCCCCAGCTGAACCCTGAACTCCTCCTAACTGCCTGAGTGCATCATCATCCCCACTCCTCCGCCTGTCCTCCTGCTGGACTGTGAGGTCAAGCACATGAGGACTGGATTGATCTTGTTCACTTCCATATCCCTGGCATGAAGAACACGTAGTGTCCAATACCAAAGACTGGCTTTCATATATTTGTTTGAATGAATTAATGGAATGAATTCAGCTTCATATACACACAGATATTTTTTTCTTCCAGACTCATGGCCTCATAATTTCAGAAAGTTTTTAATTGGTTATGATCAAGATAGTGAGAGGTCTCTGAAGAAAGTAACAGAGGAAACTACAAAGGTTAATGTGGTTTTGTCCATCATCTTTTCATACGTTACCTATCTGTATCTCTATACCCCTATCTCTTATCTATATCTACACATGTATCTATATCTGTATCTACATATGTATCTGTCTATATTATATCCATATCCATAACCATATGCACATCCACATCCATATCCATATCTATAACCATATCCATATCCATATCTCTATCTATATTAAAGGTGATTTATATGTTCATGCTGGCCAATGTCACTCCAATTTAATAAATAATTTTTTAAAAAGGTGAATTTTCTTCTTAAAGGATACATGTTGTATTAACTTGGAGAACAGTGTATTGGACTCACAGACTGAAATGCTTAATGTAAGCAAAGGAAACGGTATGACACTTTGCACAGAGAATGACAGAGGGAACCTGAGAGCCTCCTGTGAAGGCCTCTCACACAAAACAGGTTGCTTATGACAGAGAAACAGTTTCTAAATGTTACTGCATTTGTTTTAACAATACCTGGTATTTTTATTGCATCCCATGGATTAGGTGGTACTTTTTGGCTTCAACAGAGAAAATACTTTTTCTCTTAAAAATAACTGGCAAAAAATAGTACAGGATATTTTTGAAGAAATGTGGTTTTCAGGAGAAACCAAGGGCTGGGAAAATAAGTAATTATGTGGGAACCAGAACAACAAAGCAAAGGTCTCCTTCACTCTCACACACACACACACATTCACACAGACAAGGATGAAATTCACACACATTCACACCCACACTCAGACCCACATGCACACCTTCCACACGCTCACACTTATTCACTGCCATGGTCTGAATGTTTGTGTGTCCCCAAAACTGGGATCCTAATGCCAAGGTGACAGTGTCAGGAGGTGGGGCCTCTGGGAGGGTGATTATGTCATGAAGATAGAGCCCTCATGAACAGAATTAATGATTTTATCAAAGAGATCCCACAGAGCTCCCTAGCCCCTTCTACCTTGTGGGGACACAACAGAAAATCTGCAACCCAGAGGACACCCTTCACCGACCATGCTAGCACCCAGACCTTGGACTTCCAGACTCCAGAACTTCGAGAAATAGATTTATGTTGTTATAAGTCACTCAGTCTATGGTATTTTGTTATAGCAGCTTAAATGAACTAAGACCTTCACATATATGCACTTACACACATATTCATATAGACATACCCATGCCTACATCCCCACTCATATCCCTCACACGTATGAAAGACTCACACGCACTCATACACACATTCACACATACCCTTTGTACTCACACATGTATATAACACACATGCACCCACATCACTCACATACACACCCACCTCTACTCACACTCACATACATTCACACCCACACTCACAGGGACTGTGCCCATTCAGACCTGGCTGTTCTCCTCTAATGTAAACATCCGGCAAAAATGAAAGGTCACCTCACATTTCCCCAACTGCAAGAGAAACGTGCTCTCACTTTGTTCACAGACCAATGGGGTTTTACTTGGGGCTTCCTCTGGTTCCAACACCCGAAAACCCCCCGCTGCCGTGGTGGGGTGTCCCCTCATTGGGTTTCCCAGTATTAATCACAGTTAAAAAAACCAACCCACCGCCTGCATGTCTGTGCTTCCTTTCCTCAGTGAAGTCTAATTTGGGCCCCACCACAAAGCACCTGGTCTAGCTGCAGCGTTTCTTTCTAGTCTGAGTCCCCTGTGTTGCGGCGCCACCCGGTCAATTCCCAAGCCTGCCTGAGGGCGCATGAGGAGTCCCCGGTGGGACGAGTGGGACAGGAGTGGTCCAGTCAGAGTGGTTTCTGCCCGGGAAAGGCTCCCTGGAACAAGCACCATAGGCCCTCTCATTGGAAATCATTTCACTTCCCTAGGGCTGTTCCCACATTCCCCCCCCCTCCCCCCAGTTTTTTGTTTGTTTGGTTTGTGCATGTGTGTGTGTGGGGGGGTGTGTGGTGTGGTGTGTGTGTGTGTTTATCCTCACCCGACGATATTTTTCCATTGATTTTAGAGAGAGTGGAAGATAGAGGGAAAGACAGAGAAATACTGATGTGAGAGAAACAGGGCCCAGACCAAGGAGGAGCCTGCAACCGAGGTACGAGCCCTTGACCAGAATCAAACCTGGGACCCTTCCGTCTGCAGGCCGACGCTCTATCCACTGAGGCAAACCGGCCACGGCTATTCCCACATTTGTAATACGGGTGGTGGGACTGCATGCTGGCTAAATTCCCTTTGGCGCCAGAGCCTGTGACTCGGTGGTTCTGTGGTCCAAAGCAGGCCTGCTCACTTTCGTGACTCTGGCCAGTGTTTTATTCCCACCCTCAGGTGAGTGGTCTCTTTGGGGCCCTGGAAGCTGCCCAGGACTTGGCACAAAAGGACTTAGCCGGGAAGGACCTAGCCCAGGAATGGCCCTACAAGACTGAGGACTAGACCCAACTTTCCAAGGAGCCTCTCAGACTGCATGGTCACTGAAGGCTTTGTGGGTGCCCTGTCACTACCACAGTCAAGTTACAGAAGCTTCCAGTGTTTGCATTTTTGATTTCTTATTCCAGCCAGTTCCAGTCCAAGCATCTACAATCCTGGCCCCACCTACAGGAAGATTTTCTGACAACAGGAAATACCTATCTGGCATGGACTGCAGACAGAGTGGAATGCTCCCTGTCTCAGGACGTCCCAGCAGAGAGATCTGTCTGTCCCGGCTAACACGGGAGCAAGGTCCATGAGAGGAAGGGTGGACTGGGAGAGGATTAAAGTCCCTTTGAATTCCAAAGCCTCATTTTATAACCTCTACTTTGTGAGGATTAGGGGCAAGATCAGAATGAGAAGCAGAGAAGAATTTGCATATGTATGTTGAAGACCTTTTGGGAGGAGAAATCTTTATGGGAAGAGGAATTTTGGGTTTAATCAGTCATTTACTTGTGAAAATGAAAACCACGAGCCAAGAATTGAGCTGGGTTCTCCTATCATAGGCACAGCTATGGCTGCTCTAAATGTCTTGCTTTGAGAATTGTCTTGCTAGTACAAAATGGCTTTATTTTTAAATGAATTTTAAGCTTTGGTTTAGTTTCAAAGTTAAGAGCTTGATTATGACTCACCATGCTATTTATAGTAGTCCCCTCTTCTACCAGACATTGTGTGTGTGTGTGTGTGTGTGTGTGTGTGTGTGTGTGTGTGTGTGAGATAGAGGACGGAGAAGAGGCATAAAGAGCTTACTGATTGCCTGGCTCATTCTTTAAATCTGAAGAAGATTGCAACTATCCAGATCGATCATGCTAACTCCAGCAGGGGACCTTCTATTCCTTACTCTGACCTTTCTGGTTTTGTGCTCACCAGCTTCATAATTCCAAAACTGTTTATTTACCCTTATCTGGGGGAGGTTTGGGGAAAAAGGAAGAGTACAGTGCACCTGAACACCTCTTATTATGAGCATGCTAATTAGTAGTTCAATTCGAAGAGCAGTTTCTTTCAACAAAGAAAAAGTCAGGATGTAGCAGAAAGCGTTCTGGATCAGGTTTTAATCCAAGCTCTGCATTCAGTAGCTGGGTGACTTTAGGAAGGACTTCCTCTTTCTGACCCCCCTTTTTTATATTTGTGAAGTGGGGATGCCTAGCACCTACCTCACAGGGTTTGGGTAAGGACTACATGAAGCGCCAGGGCCAGCTTTCAGCACCCTGAGGAACTTTGACATCTGTATAACATTAGCCACATGTCTTCCGGAAGGTTACCCTATGTCCTGCTGTTTTATCACTATTTCTGAGGAAGAGCTGCTTTCCCTCCCCAATCCTATTATTTTCCGCTATTATTTGTGTTCCTGAGGTAGGGCAGCTTTCCCTCTCCCTTTTCAATGACTATAGAAAATATAGTCCTAAATATCCACATCCACAGATTTCCAGCTTTAATTTCCCCAAAAGTGCATAAGTCTGGTGGCCTGGTCACTGCTGGGCATACTGTATGTAGGAGAGAAGGGTGATAGAGGGGGCAAGAGCCAGAAGAGATGATGTAGTGGGGTCCAAGGGTGGGCATGCATAGGGGTGGGTGGAAGGGACCTTGATGAGGAAAAGATGAAGAAGTGGAAGAGGAAAAGATGAGATTGTGTGGAGTCAGACCTCCCACCCTTATCTGGCAGAAGTAAATGACACTGAGTTGAGTATCATGAAGATGTGGTTGAGATATGAGCACCAACAAAGTCTCTGAAACCTCACTGTGTGAAAAAGGGCCTTTTCCCATCTTGAAACATACTGTTCAAATATAGAATCCTCTTTATATGTTATTTATAGCTCAATAAGAACAAAATAAAACAAAACACATAAATCAGCAATTCTCCTGAATTTTAAGTTGACATTGAAAACTTACCTTCCAGAAAAGAGAAATCTGTTGTTTCCTGTAGTCAGTGTTCTGTCTGATGTACCAGACATCTAATGTCCCCGAAGGCTCTGATTTGAAAGGGAAAGGACATATTTTCATATATATAAATGTACATACATTACAAAACCATTAAAAGTCAATGATTCTGGGAAAGTAGGATTATAAGATACTTTCAATTTTCTGGTGCCCCAGTATTTTTCTTCTTCTTTTGTTAAACAATGAGCATGTATATCTTTGGCCATAGAAAGCTCACAATTACCTTAAAAAATAAAATAATGCAGAGGAAATTAGATTCCTAACTTACTCTTAAAACATATATTAATGCCGAAACCGGTTTGGCTCAGTGGATAGAGCGTCGGCCTGCGGACTGAAAGGTCGCAGGTTCGATTCCGGTCAAGGGCATGTACCTGGGTTGCGGGCACATCCCCAGTGGGAGATGTGCAGGAGGCAGCTGATCGATGTTTCTCTCTCATCGATGTTTCTAACTCTCTATCTCTCTCCCTTCCTCTCTGTAAAAAATCAATAAAATATATTAAAAAACATATATTAATAAAATAACTCAAAACATCTGTGGTTATTTCTTTTTTATTGGAATGCATAAGGAATTATCAGTCAAAAAACAAAGACAGAAATCGTAACGAACACATTTTTTAACCCTGTAAAAGTAAAAAATACAAATAATAAATTTTGTGTTAATCTCCATTCCTGACCTAATGCTGTAGTATAATTAATTGGTTTTATGACTATTAGACAATGATCTACTTGAAAGGAAGGCCTATCTCATGTATCTTAATATTTCTCCTACCTAGCACCATATTTAGAATGTAATAGGCTCTCAATAACTCTTTGTTACATGATGAATGAACAAAGCAGGCAATATTATCTACTTGATGCTAAAACACAGGCTGAACTGATAGAAGAAATATCCACCAATCTATAAGACAATGGTCAAATATGACCTAATTTAATATGAGAAAGTTAATCAAACATGCTTGAAAAGAAACAAAATAATCAACTCCTGTGTATTTGAGAGGGAGTGTGTGTGTGTGTGTGTGTGTGTGTGTGTGTGTGTGTGTGTGTGTGTCAGCGGACCAACCTCAGTTGTTTAACAGACACTTAGAGTGTACCTGAGGTGAGGCTATAATAGGGTTCCTTCTGGAGTAGCAGGTTCTTTTTAACCAGATGGAACTTTCCAGAAAATTAAGTTCCATCTGGATAACAGAAGACAAGCAGCTAGGAAGAGAAGAGAAAGAGAGAAAGGAAGGGAGCACAGGCACCGGCACATACTAGGGGCAGATCCTGGGTGGGCCCATCCACAGTTAGATCTCACGTCCTCCTCACCACCAAGAAGTGGGTAGCTTCAGGGCAGCGGTTAAAGTGTTAGCTCCAGAGCCAGACCATCTACAGGCAAATCCCAGCTCTGTGACCTTGAACAAGTGTTAACTATGTCCTTAAGCCAGCTCCTCATCTGTCAAGTGAGGATCACAATTCTGCACGCCACATGGGCTGCTGGAGAATTTAAATGCACAGAGGAGTGCCGATACATGGTCAACACTCATAAAACTTAGCTGATGTTTTTTCTTCATTTGAAAACTAAAGTGCTGAGAGGTAAAGGAGTTGTTCAAGGTCCCAGAACTAATCAGCAGAGAAGCCGGGCTTTGAACTCAGGTCTGTTTTATTTCACAGCCTGTGATCGTCACTCTGCACCATGCAGTGGCCTGGTTCTGAGAAGGCTGATGATTTCTCTACAACACTTCCATTCCCCAGTAGGTGCGCCTCTTTCATGTTTTATTCTCTTCCTTTGTCACTTCCTCTTCCTGCCTCTCTTGCCCTCTTTTCTTTCTGTTTTTTTTTTTCTTCTAAACATTCACTTCTTTTACTTTCCCCCTCTTTCCACCAGTGAGGACTTAGCAGTAAGAAATACACACTTAAGCCCTGACTGGTTTGGCTCAGTGGATCAGTGGATAGAGCGTCGGCCTGTGGACTGAAGGGTCCCGGGTTCGATTCCAGTCAAGGGCATGTACCTTGGTTGCGGGCACATCCCCAGTAGGGAGTGTGCAGGAGGCAGCTGATTGATGTTTCTCTCTCATCGATGTTTCTAACTCTCTATCCCTTTCCCTTAATCTCTGTAAAAAATCAATAAAATATATTTTAAAAAAAGAGAAATATATGCATAAGACATCCTGAAACTCTCAATGCGTTAGGGTTATAAAGAATAACCCAGGAATCAAGCCAGGACTTTTATTCCTGCTAGCCCAGATGCACAAAGAGAAAAATGAACAGGCAACAGAAGAAAAGAGAACCTGACATGTATTAAATTACTATGTGCCAGGTAATATTTGGACACTTTATATACATTATCTCTCTGAATCCTACACATTGCAGGGGGTGCCTGTGATTACTCATATTTTACAACTGACAAAGGTTAAATGATTTACGAAAGACATAGAGCTGGTAAATGACAAAATTGAGAGCTGAGCCTAGGTCCTCAAAGACCCTGCTCTTCCATCACAGATCATTATGTGGAGCAAAGATATAAACACTTCACAAATCAGGTAATCTGGACATTGACACATAATCAGGATATGGTCACTTGGGTGTGCTCAGTGGCAAAGCCAACTGACTTGTACCGAAGCACTAAATGTCTTCAGTTAATTACATATTGGTAAGAAATTTAAAGGAAAACTCATTGCCTCATTAAAGATCTACCACCTTCCATATTATTACAGAGCCAAAACCCAAATTCTAGAATCATAATCTCTTCAAAGGAGAAATTGCAAGTGAAACTGAAATTTTAATGGTGGCCACCTGCAGTGTAAGTCACTATGGGAGAGAAATCATTAGTTGAATCTATATGAATTTCAAAGTGTAGAATTTCATGACCAAGGGTGTCAAACCACTACTGTTTAATGCAATGTAAGGGCTAATATTAAAGAGAATCTCTCATAGTCAACTTTCATAAAATCACTTAAAATTCTAACCACAGTGTCATCTAGCAAAAGACATATTAAAGATATTATAGGCAGGTGGGAAGAGGAAAGTCAAAGGCCCATATATCAAAGTGATTTCAAAACAAATGGGTACAGCCTTGGCTGGTTTGGCTCAGTGGATAGAATGTTGACCTGTGGACTGAAGGGTCCCGAGTTCGACTGCCGGTCAGGGTACCTGCCCAGGTTGCAGGCTTGATCCCCAGTGGGGGGTGTGCAGGAGGCAGCCAATCAATGATTCTCTCTCATTTTTGATGTTTCTAGCTCTCTCTCCCTCTTCCTTTCTCTTTGAGATCAATCAATCAATCAATCAATAAACAAATGATTGTTAACAATTATTAGATTAATCTTTAAAAAAATCAAATGGGTACAAATGATTAATATACAAATATTGTGAAATGGAAGTCAGCTTTCCTGAGATAAAACTAGCTCCAATATAAAGGGGAAAATAGTAGGGTTAACTAGAGTCACCAATATGAAATAAAAAGAAAGATCCTAAATTAAGCAGGAGATTGGCCTAAATGACTTAAATGACCTCAAGGATTCTTTCAAATCTTAAATCCCAGGATTCTAGGGTTCTATTAAACTGTATGTGTGGCAACCAATCAGAGCCAATCCATTGTTTCTCAGCTCAGCATCTATATCTGAAGCCAAGGTAGGGCAGGGCTGGGGACAATAGCAACTGAATCGGGTGGAAAGCAGTTCCACCACAGAGGTTTTAGCAAGCAGTGAAGAGAAGAATCAAGAACAGTGAAAATAGAGAATTTGACAAACAGTAAATATAGAAAAGACATATCTCAACTTTCAGGTAGTAGACTAAGTGAAATGCACAAAATTTTTTTGATCCAAGTCATGGTCTAAGCAGGGCAAGAGAGATAAGTCATTCACTGCCTTGGTTTCATGATGTCCACTCGTTAGGCTGTGCTACATTTATCTCATTTATCTAAAATTTAGTTTCAAACAATTCAATTCAAATAGAACTTAGAAGCGCCTACTTGATTAAACAAAGTCTCAGTGATAGGTTCTTGCCTTCAGATGTTATCATCTGCTGTGCCTGCATTCACTTCTTCCAGGGTACATGTTGGGCTTAAAGGAGACCAAAAGAAGACAAAAGGGTAGGGACTAGCATTGGATCTCAAACAAAACATTTTCTTTCTAATGAAAATGTTTGCATGTAAGTCCCTTTAGAACAGTGATGGCAAACCTATGACACGTGTGTCAGAGGTGACACGCGAACTCATTTTTTTGGTTGACTTTTCTTTGTTAAATGGCATCTAAATATATAAAATAAATATCAAAAATATGTCTTTGTTTTACTATGGTTGCAAATATCAAAAAATTTCTATATGTGACACGGCACCAGAGTTAAGTTAGGGTTTTCCAAAATGCTGACATGCCGAGCTCAAAAGGTTCGCCATCACTGCTTTAGACGGTAAAAAGCCATTCATTCTCATTTCCTCAAGTTTTAAGAAAGAAGGCACAAGTATGAAACTTTCAAGTTTAGCTAGTTTAGGAGTTAGCAAACTATGGCCCATGGACCAAATCTGGCACATTCCCTGTTTTGTACAGCCTGTGAACTAATAATAATGGTTTTTATATTTTTAAATGGTTGAAAACAAATTTTAAAAAATCATTTTCAGGGAGAAACCAAGGTGGCGGCACAGGTAAACACCGGAAATTGCTGCCTCCCACAAAAAATTCAAAAATAAAACTAAAAGACAAAATGGACATCATCCAGAACCACAGGAAGGCTGGCTGAGTGGAAATTCTACAACTAGAAGGAAAGAGAAAAGCACACTGAGACTCAGAGGAGGTGCGGAAGTGCATGCGGCAAGGGCTGGCAACTGAGGACTCAGCTCTCTTTTGAATCGGGAGGGCGTAACAAGTCCCCGACTGCTCTGAACTCCAGTTCCGGGTGAGTCTCTGGGGACCCAGACTCATACGTAGAGAAACTAGACTGTCTGGCAGTGGGCAGAACTCAGAACTCTAGGGCGGCTTTCTCTCAAAGGTGCTTGCAGCAATTACCAGGACACTGGGACACGGGGCCCCTTAGGGCAGGGCTGAGGATCAGCCATAGCTGCTTGCTCCGCCCTGTTGATTCCCTGAGACCTGCCCCACCCAAGCTGCAGCAGAGGCTCTTGCATATGAATGCCCTGGCCCTTTGCAATCTGAAAATTACCTAATAAACTGCAGCTGGGCCAGTCAGACCCAGAACTTCCAAGAGAAGGCCCAAGGCCCCACAGCAGCTTGCATTGCTTCACAGCTGGGCCTCATTTGGGCACCTCCAAACCCCAAACAAGGAAGAGGAATCTGCAGATCTCTTCGTAGCTCCTGCTGGGTAACCTCAGGCAGAGGCTAAATTAGCACCTCCTTAGATCCAAGAGCCAGTGTACCCAGTGGTCAGAGTGGGACCATCCAATTACAACTCCTCAGATTTATAAGGGACACACTCAGGGGGCAGACTCAGTGAGCACCAAAGCCCCACTGAAGCAAGTCTTGCCTCATAAGGGTGTCTTCAGCACAGAAGTTCTCCCACCGTAGACACAGCTGACCCTCACAGCCAT